AATTCTTCAAATGATAATTAGTTATACAGATGAGGAATTTAAAATGTTTTCTAGACTAAGGGCTGCTTCCGCATCGCTTCTTGTAGGGCAGACCAATACATACACGTACTCATGTATATGCATGGGTGTACAATGCCAATGCCATCCACAAATGTGCGCACTTCCTGGGTAGGTCAGTTCGAACCAAATCATTTGCATGCCCGGCATTCCACTCAATCTCAGTACAGTTGGCAATACAAAACGAGCATTTGAGTGCAACTCTCGCGCGTTCGCAACAAAGAAGGCACCAGAGGTGCGCTCTCGCAGCACAGGATCGAAGGGTGTGTAGTGTGTGGTTGTGTGTGTAATTTGTGTGTGTGTGTAGCATTAACGGCGAGCAACCCTCGACTCGTGCTGTTCTGCGACGTCATTGAAATGACGTCGTCGAAAAACAGGAAACGCAAAAGCCAAGCGTCAAACTACACGTATAGCAGGAAAACATCCAAAATAATATCCGCAACACACCCGCACATGCACACGTAGTTCGAATACGGAGACGAACACGGGCCCGGACCCGGACCCGGACCCAGCTACGTCATGGCCCTGGCCGTGGCCCTCATAAAATGCGTTTTACTTTCATCTTCACAGACTACTCTGGGACTTTTCTAGGAAAATGTGTGCATTAGATGATGGCTGGGAAAACATTAATGCGCGACGTTTCTGCCCGGGGTTGGCTCTGGCTGGCTGGCTGGCTGGCTGGCTCGAGTGCATCGAGGGATGTTTCAGCATCTAGTGTATAGACCTACTACATACATATATATGAGTGTTTGTTTGCATGTGTGTGTGTGTGAGTAACATGTGGCACGTTTTATTGTCGTCTACGAGTAGCTGCATGTTGCAGGAAATTTTTCCATTTGCCCGTCTGCGCTTTGTTTACTGCCCGTCTGCATTTCCACTGCCATTTTCACACATCTGAATGCCATCAGTTCGGTTCTATTTTGTTCTGCTCTGTTCTGTTCTGTTCTGCTCTGTTCTGTTCTGTTCTGCTCTGTTTTGCTCTGTTTTGCTTTGCATGGCATTTTTATAAATACGAAAAGCTGCTGTTGTTGTTGCAGTGGCTGTTGCTGGTTCTGCTTGTGGAGCTTGTAATGTTTCAGCACTTGACAATGACCTTGACAATGTGCCTGGGCATCGTCTACTCCATTTGCCGGTTAGACCAAATGTTTATTCATTTCCCGTTTTAGAAACTACCGCAAAACAAAACAACAAGCAAATACAACAAACGAGCAGCAACCGAACCGAAGCATCTCTTCATATCAACACTTTGCAATGTTATTGACCTCTCGGGTCATAGCTGAATGAATAACAAACAAACTATAAAGTCATTTAAATTAAAAAAAAAAAAACACACACACACATAATCGACTAGCTTATCATATTCCACTTAATAGGTTCGATTAGTATAAAATGAAGAAAGCCACTTACGCGAAATATTAAAAAATAGTTATCGGCACGCGCCCCAATTGATAGCTACGTATTGCCTCATAATGCTGGGGTTTGTTCAAAGTTAAATCTTTTCGTGCATGCCCATGACCATAAGTATTAACACTAACAGACAAGTTACAAAACACTCATATACGAGTAGTTAGCCCACCTCTGTATTACTGAATATTCTGCATTTTTACTCCTAAATGTTGCCCATGTTTTATTTCTCACTACTGTCAATCAAATGGTAACTAAATATAGCAGCAATAAGTGGAATGCTTAATATCGTCTAAGGAAAAACGATTTAGTTCAACTTTTTTTCTATAGGCAGTCTACTAACATTAACGCTCTAAGTTCTACAAATGTAAACACTCATATTCATAAAAACTATATTCCATTACGTTACATAAGATTCAAAAATAATATAAGTGAAAACTTTTAAAGATAACATTGTGTTTTTTATAATAATAATAAAAAAGTATAGCTGTTACCCCACAAAGTAAAATGTTCAAGGTTTTCATAAATGTTTTTCCAGCTACTATGTGGCGGGTTCCACCTCAGTTTCTCGCCTTTTATAGAGAATGTGAAGATAATCTAATCTATCAAAAAAATGTACAAAATTCCAAAAAAGAAAATCATATTTCTGCATTTCATACACTCTTAAAACAAATGCCCAAAATTGAGATATAAGCGCAGATCGTTACTAAGCTGCTTGACGCAGTGGAAGATTTTGGCTTAATTATTATTTCCAAATGAATTTTTGTTCCTTAATGGGGGATCCTTAAAAAGGCTCTATCAAAATCTAAAACATCATGTGCTCTTACATGAATCAGGAAAGCTTTTAAGAGCGAACTGAATACATTCTTACAAATTTCGCTTCTATCTGCATTTTTAAATACATTTAAGTCATTCGCCCAAAAATATTACTTAAAAACACAAAATGAATGTTATTTACTAACATCTACAAAACTAAATTAATTGAAAAGCCTACATAGTACAAAAATAAGAATTGAAATGCCAATAATTAAGAAGCTTTCATGTATGTCATACATTTTGTATTCATTTTTATTATCTGTATTTTTAAAGCATGTTATATTTGTATTCTTTTGCTTAAAAAATAAATATATTTATAAAAAAGCCTAAGTATTACAATAATAATAATTGAAATGCCAATTAATATTCTGTTTACGATGTTCATTCATAAATGCCTTCATTGAGTGTGAGTGTCAATATACTTTATTCGTAGTTCTTTTTTAATGTCATTTTACTTTTTTATGTGCTTATTAACTCATCAAATTCACTTTTTAAAATCTTACTCAGTTGGCTTAAAACATTTAACACATATGTGCCACTTTTTCTTCCAAACCCTGATTTACTCACATCTGCTCATGTCTATATTCTCTTATCATCAAAAACTCGCTAACATAGTCACATTTTATGTTTGTAACAGAATATCTATGTATTTATTGAAATAAAATTGTAAAAGAAAACAAAAAAATATATATGTTATAGCTATGGACAATTTATCTACATACAGTGTACGTAAATATTTACAAATATTCGTATTCAAACAATCATTTAAATATAACAAAACAGAATGTTAGAGTCGAGGAGGAAGGGGAGGAAATAAGACAAAAACCTGGAAGGTCTAGAATAGTCAGCATACAATGTTTGTTGAAACCTAGCGGTCAATTAGATTTGTAAATAGATATATAAACATGATTAGATCGGTTTGTCTCGTTATGCTTATCACATATATATACAAGTATGTTGTTTGGGGTCCGATTTAGAGATTTCTCCTGGCTAGACTTTCACCTTCGAACGTTAAGTAATTATAAGAAAATATACTATGACCAGTCCAAAAATAGTAGTCAATTGATCATAGGTACATAAGTATATAAGAAAGTATCAGACATCTATACATAACAATAATAAAATAGTCATGCTCTAGATCGGGGCATCTCGGATTCTCTAGAAGTACGTTTTTCTTTTCTCAGCCCTCGTCTTGTCAGCAGGTCTCTCGAACAATAACAGATTAACGAGTACACTGGCTCACAAAGCGGCTGATAACAATTCCGCTTATCAAATACGTAACAATACCTTTAGCATGTTCGAAGCTTCCAAGTTAATCTAATTACAAGTGTCGAAAGGCGGCAACTAGATCGTGACGAGCAAGAAATTTCGTTGCTCAAAGTGCCTTTGGGTGTCGATGTCGCCTAGTTGGGTGTTCGATTCGTGTCGGCTTCGATGTCAAGTCGACATGGGGAGAAGACACATGATAGCCCAAGTCTGTATCTGCAAAGTGCGCAGCTCAAAAATTATCGCCTCATGCCAATGATAGCGCTCAAGGCACTTTCAATTTAGACAATTACGCAATTGTTGGGCTTAGGGGCAGGCTGGGTGGGTGTGTAAAGCTGCGATGTGCGTGTGTGTGTGTGTGTGTGTGTAGACACACAGGTTGTTGTTGCTTCATTAAATGTCGGGACAAGTCTCTACTCTTATAGTTTTGTCAATCGAGCTTGCGCTGCTGAGTCTTCGTTCAAATCGCCGTGTAAGTGGATTAAATACATTTTCAATTGTTTTTCTTGGCTCTTTTAATGAAATGTCAAAAACAATTAGACATCACACAAAGCGAGATGTGTCCACATGCTATATGTATATACATACGTGCATGCATATAGACATAAATATGGTTACGTATATGTATTTAGAAACATAAATTGCTATATTGATTGAAAACCGCACAGGTTCTACATTTGGATCGGGGGTCAGCCATTCAAGGCTCGCCTGGTTGCCGCCGATAGACAACTTTCAAAAACATTTTTTTAAATGAGCGGCACACTGCCTTTAAGTATGTCACAGTTGCAGTTGTTGTTTTGTTTTTGATGTTGTTGTGGCTGCAACAGATTGATTTCCGATTGCGAATTGGTGCGTACTCGTACACGTATTGTGTACGGCGTTCATTCCTATTGCGCATACGCCCCATGTGCGGTTGCTTGCTGGCATAGCTGAGCGCCGAAGGGCGGCCTGCGGCGTGCTTCGGATTAGTCTATATAGGTGAAGTATTTTGCATTTTAAAAATCATTCCAACGACTGCTCATGCTTACCATGTTTTGAAGAAATACTTAGAAATATTATAAAATTCCTATGCAAAAAAAAATGTTTTTAGATAAAAGATTTACAAAATAAAAAGGAATAAAAACAAGTACACAATAAGCAAAAAAGGCCCAGTTTTAAAAAGCGTGCACACCTAATTCTGTTTTTACACGGTAGATTGGTTCCAAAAAAAACCGTGTAAAAAAATTGATCATATGGTATTTTGAATCGTGCTAGATGGAATAAAGTCGGGCAACCATATATACAACTTTTAATTTTCAAACCGTGTAAAAAGAGACCTTCTAAAAACAGAATTAGGTGTACTCATAAAAAGCATATTGTTCATTTAAAAAATATAATAATTTTTTGTTCAACAAAAAGATAATGCCGGCTAAATGGTAAACTAAACCAAAAGAAGGCCCGACAGACCCCCCAACACATTTACTTTATATTCTTTTATTTCATATACAAGTATAGCACAGACATCAAAGTTGTGGAAAACATTTGGCACATTAGCATAAATGTAGTAGAATAATAAATACAAATTAATACTCGTAGATATGTAATACATTTTGGAGGAAACATTCATAATATACTTGTATAGTTTGAATGGTGGCAGCACGCTTTCCAAATCCGAAAACCAGCAGGTGTGGTGTTTTAAGCACCAACCCAAAAAAAGGAGCCACTTCATGGGCCCTCTCCTACTATCTTTATAGTTTGGTTGCCAATGACAGCAGTTGGTTGACATGGAAAACACACTGATTTGTTATTGTTTTTAAGTAACATTATTAGTAGCAACTTTATTTTTTGTTCGGCTTACAAACTAATTAGACACTATTAAAAAAAAAAACTAACGAAAAAAACGCTAACCGCAAGACAACACACAAAGACAATAGCTTGCTGGGGTTGTAGTTGTAGTTTTGTTATAAGAGCAGCATTGTTGTTGTTGGTGGCGCGTCTTCTTTGTTTACAAAGCTAAAAACGCTCTCTCGCCTGACTCTCTGAGCACAGCAGAGCTCAGCGTTGCCACACTGTTGCCAGAGACGCAGCGGTTAGAGCGGAGGCGAGCATCACACCCCAGCCAAGTGTGGACTGATGAGCCCCAAGCGGGGCTCCATTGCACCCGTCCGTGTCGCAGGTATAGATGCAGCTGCGATATTCCATGCGATCGCCCTTATTGCTCACATAGTCGCAATAGTTGCCCAAGTCCTTGGAGCTGCAGAAGCGCTTCGCACCAATGCCGCCCTCAAAGCGACCCACATGCTTCACACAGAACTTGGCGCCGTGCACGTTGGAGCAGTTGTGGGGCTGTATGTCGGGCTCGTCGAAGCGGTCGAACCATTCCCCGCATTGGAACGGATTCAGCGTATCGGAGGCATCGCACACGTAGCACTCGATGGCCAGGCAGTGCTGGAGGCTCAGCAGCATCAGGAAAGCGGCCAGCCACAATGGCAGAGCTCGGTGTGTCGCTGACATGTTCGACTCTCCTCGATTGCACAATCGGGCGGACGGTCGTGATGACGCACTAAGCTTAATGCCAGCTACAACAAGCGCACACAAACAAGCAAACAAACAATTAATGACGCAGGCGGCGCGCGCAGAGGAGAGTGGCAGCGGTAAAAAGCGGAGAAAAACGCGCAGCAAACCGAACCCACAGACAACAAACTGCCGTCGTCAGCGTCGCAAATGCCAAGCCCGTACTGAAGCGTTGTCTCAACTTCGTTTCAGCTCGCTTCATTCGTGGCCGGTGGCGGCGGCTGCGACGGCAGCGGAGGCGGAGCACGCGCGCTGAGAGCACAACAACCTGACCGATGGTTGTCCAACTTCTCAGCAGCCACTCTGCCACAGCCAGCCGTCGCCCTCATCAAGGTCTAGACTCTAGAGTTAGCCGCTAACTGAAACAAGCCTCTCTCAATCGGTAGCCGCTAACGAGTGTGTGTGAGTGACTGTTTTTGTCTGTGTGGGTGCCTGTGTCTGTGTTACCAATGTGGCTTGGCTCTCAGAAAAAAATTTGCCGACTATTTGTAACTCGGTTGCTAGGCGCTGTCTCTAGCCCTAGCCCTCTAGCCAGCCCCAGTCCTCTCTCTTTCTCTCCCTCTGTCTCTCTGTCTCTCTATATTGCTTTCGTTCATTGGATCCTTGGCGTCCCCGAGCAATCGCTTGAGACTCGCCTTATCGTTATCGCTTGACCCCCAAGTCTGAACCCTTAATAAAAAATTTCGTAATGCTTGCATTTCGTTGCGTTGCTGCTTCAATGTACGAGTACGAGTATACTATATGTATGTATATACGATATGTGCTATATATGTAGTTATTTTTTCCAACCTGATAGTTGGAGCTGCTGCTTTTGGTGCATGTTTTTCTTCTTGCAATGCGCTGAAACTTGTTGCTGCTGCGCAACACTGTCAGCAACAGGTATTCTGTGTATACACACACACACACTCACACAGACACAGATACAACACACTCACATACCAAGATAGGCAACCATTGCTGGCAACTCTTCAAACATGTCCAAAATGTGCGCTTGCCGCCGCCATTACTGCCGACGTCGACGTTACCTCTTTGTTCTTGTTGGCTTCAGCCGTGACTTTTTCTTTTTCATGTTTTCTGTTCTTTGGCACTATGGGACATTCGAACAATGTTCTGCTCAAAAAAAACACATTCAAAATCAAATTTCTTGGTTATAGGAATAGCAGTTCCCAGTTTTTTGGGCCCATTTAATTTTATCCCACATTCTCCTTCACATCTATCTCCAGCCCAGAGAAGAATAGGAATAACAGAAAAGGCCCCGTTCCTTTAATTACCAAATGGTATACGATATACGGTAGGTCCTACAGGATACATTTCAGCCTTGATAGCAGACTTCCCAATTTCAATTAGTTGCTGTGAATCTTTGCCCAACAATTGTTGCCGCAAAATTTGCAAGCATTCCAAAAAATAAAAATTAAACAGTTAGTGTAAAACTAAAGTGATTTTACCTCAATTTTGGGACGAATTGTACATAACCATTTTCATTCAGTAATTCAATCCGGCATGGCAGCAGCAACGTTTTCATATTTGATACCGATTGGAAGAGCGGTATTAATTTTATTTCATACATTTTTATCGCTATTAATCTTGTTAATCTAATCTTTTTGCTGCATCTCAGTTGTCTTCAAAGATGTAGCCCTATGGGAATATTGTACCTGCCAGTCATCCTCTTGATATGTAATATGTCTAAATATGGTGAGACATTATAGCAAAAACTCATGAATACCGAATTATCTCCAGAAACAAAATCGTTATTGGAATTTATCAACTAGGCAGTCAAACGTATACTTGATTTCTGCCCCAATCGATGCTATGACACCTACTACTAAAAGTGTTTTATAATCTGTTATATATAACTATATAACACAATAAGGCTGCAAATGGTTTGTACGAGTAAGAAACTTGGTCTGATATCCCAGCTATTATGGTTCAAAAGTTCTCGGTGTTCATACGTGCAGACGAACTGTTAAAGCATATATGTACCTATAACTGGGAGTCTGCTGTTTTTCCCCCAAATTCTTAAAAAGTGTGGATAGCCAAAGAAATGAGATCATATCAGTTTACAAAGAGTATTGAGGAAGCATAGTTTAAGAGAGAGAGAAGGGGGACTAAAAGATGATTGAAGACCCCTATTTGATAAGTTACATTAGATTGGCGTTCACATTTTCATTTATTTTTAATCAACTTACAGTTTAGGTAAGTCCAAACTCAAAACTTCACACAATTATTTGGATAATTTCGAACACTCAACTTTTTCATTTCAAGTGTTCTTTTGGCATACCATTAATGTTTCTAGGAAATATCAATAGTTAAGTACGTGTCTATAGTTCAAAATAGGTTGCTGATATCGCAAAATATGATTTAAATATCATTCTATTTATTTATTTGGTTTCGCTTTAGAAATTTCTATATTTTTGTTTATATTTGTCGTCACGTAAAGATTATTCACATTCTTAAAGTTATTTTTATGTTGTTTCCCGACGAGCATTTTGTTTAGTTTCAATCGCGATTTGTCCCATGGTAGATATTAAGAATGAGGTATGGAGTGAAACGTCTGCGATTGCTTATTGGAATTTCATTAGAGGTGCTACCAGCAACGTCATCCTTCCTTCCATCCCCACCGCCCCCTTTGCCATTTGGCTTGCTTCATCGAACAACGTTGTCTTCGTCGTCGACTTGGTCGCCTATTGGCGGCGTCGCCGTCTTTGTCGTCTTCATCGTCGTCCCAATGCGGTTTGTTTGAAAGAACTCCAATTTAAGAAGCAACAAGAACCACGCATACCACAAGAAATCAACCGAACGAGGGCAATAAACTTTGAAGAGCCAAACGCTCACACACCAACACACCAACATACCAACATACATATACAAACATCGCACTACACAAACAAAGCGAAAGCTGCTTTTGGTTGTCGCGGTTTCAGTGGTTCTGCTCACAAGGCTTAAACCGTTTTTGTCAACGATCTTGCAACGGATTCTCAAACCGCACAGCCTGCGAGTTCAAAGTCTCGCCAAGCCAAGCGCTTGTAATTGAAACCATACACAAATGCAGTCAGTCTATGTATATATGTATGTACAAGTATGTACAAGTATGTATATGTACATACATATAAAGTATATAAATAAATGCGCAGACAGACCTCCAGGTTTGGTTTCTTTTCGTGGTTTATGCTCCATTGCAATAGCAGCGCCAACGTTTGTACTATGTATGTACGTATACGGATTGTAGCTTTATGGCAAGAGCAACTTGTGGCTTGGCCAACAAATTTCCCCAGCGATCTCAAGCATGGGTGTGACCACAGAGTCTTGTTTACAGTTGTGAAAAGCCTGCGTTGGAAAGCCTATAAATACCTCCACACCTGGGTGCCACTTCACACATGCATCGTTTTGTTTCACCAAAATGAAGCTTTGGCCAAACTTCGAGCTAGTACTTGAAGCTGGCAGGTACTCCTCTTGGAGTGTAAACTTTTCAAAAAGAGTACGAGAGGCTTTCGAGAATTTATAAATAGAAATTCTAAATCGAATGGAAGCATTTTATTGTACGTGTATTGTTCAGAATAATGTGCTTGACAAGCATGCTGAACACAAACAATGCTACTCTAATCCCAAATGCGTGCTTGCCTACAACTTCCTTGTAGCGATACTTGAATTGGTATGCTTCCAGGCATTATTTCGAATAGTATCTCGTTCACGTAGAGTGTGATGGCCATTAAGTTTGAGTGGTACTTGAATTCGTTTTTTATATCCAACAGTCCATTAAAAATACATAAGCATGATCTTTTATAGAACCTAATGCTCGGCTTTTTACTCGCTGCTTCTCACTACTCTCCATCCCACTAATTAGATCCAACCAACGTGACTATTGTGTGAGTTTCGATATCTTTCTTATAAAAATTGAAGTCTTCTACATATAGAATATTCAAGATTGATATTTTAATGGTTGAGCCCAGATGAATACATATGAATGCCTTTGTAGATCTATCACATCTCCTAAGAACTTGTTATTTCATATGCGATAGCGTTTGTTTCACAAAACACCTTTGTTTAGACAATGGAGATAGTGATTGGGTCTGACAAACAAATTCTTAACTTTCACTTGCTCATGAACGCAGGGCACTATTTGGGTCGACCATAGCTGCACCCTTCTAGAGCGACCCAAGCGTATGCGTACGTTGCGCGTACTTCACAGACCCGGCAACATTGTTATGTTATGGTTGCACATTGAACAATGCGTTTATCGTTGGATGGCTGTGTGCGAGACATCTAAGAAAGGATTTATAACGAAGCCAGCAATACAACGCACAGTGGTACGCAAGTCATTGAATGCTGACACAAATTGCATGCCCTTCTGAAATTAGTAAAACGGTAAGAATAGATTTAAGAACAAGTTTCGCCCTGCGAAAGAAAACAAACATTAGATACATTCCATTTGAAATGCAATTTATTAACATTTTAAATATTAATGGACATCATATGATATAATGGGAACAGGAAAAAAAAATCCATTGATTGTTGCACTTGAAGTTTATTCCTTAAAATATCAAATTTTGATTGAATATATATAAATAAATATAAATTTCAACAATATATATAAATAATATAAAACATATGTATTTTTCTTAGGCTATATATTTATACGAGTATACTTGTATGCACATATTTAAATTTATTTTGGAATATTTTTCTTATTATTTTCATGTTTTGCGCTCACGCTTCAAGCGCTCTACGAAAAGCATCGAAAATGAATTAATCCGTTCAGAAGCAATTCCTACTTCATAAACTAAGCTGGGATAACAACCTAGGTTTGCCATCGTAAAATACAGGCTTTTTAATTCAAAATCTTCCATTAGTTGCAATCCGTAAAACTATCCTAGGTGCAATTGTTCTTCACAAGCTGGTGCTGTACTTGTAGAACCCTGTGCCCTCTTATGCTGTAGACTTAACTTTTCTCTGCCTTGTAGATCAACATGGAATTATTTTTCATTTATCTTGTCCATATTCATTACTACACATATATAGTGGTTTCCTTTTAAAAATTAAAAAAAAAACACTCATTTTTCGGCAAACATTTCTATTATTTATGAAACACGATTACATCATGTGCCTGCCTGGGCCAGATTTGTAGTTGCGCCTCCTGTTAAGCAAGTTTTCTAAGGCTTTGGTGACGGTTTCGATATCTGCCTTAAGGACCTGAATCTTGAATGGATGCCTCGCATAAAATCGGTTCTTTACAGCACCCCACAAACAAGTCTAATGGTGTTAAGTGGCTTAAATATATTTCTGTACTATATTAAATCTGAACCACTGTGCCATATGTATGTATGTATGTGCGACATATGTTTGTAAATTGTATGTACATATGTACAGAACGCATTAAAATGCAAGATGCATCATTAAGAACAGCATCGAGAGAGGCATAATCTGCCGATGATGCTGCCGTCGCTGTGGTTGTTGTTGTTGTTGCTGCCGTTGCTGTTGCTTTAGCGTCGTGAGCGATGCCACGTAGCCAGCCATGCCACAAGCGGCAAATGTTTTGTTTTGCTGAGTTTTACGCTCGAGAAGGGCCATGCACGCACACATGCTCAAACAACAAACACACACACACAGTCGGACAGTCCGACAGTCCGACAGGCGGACAGGCATGGAATATGTTGCACAAAACGCAGTCGCGCAAAACCAAAATGGCTGCAACAAAAAAGGAAGCTGCAACAGCATCATGAGGAAGCAGCAAACCAAGAAGGAAATGCTAAAAACAGGAACGCACTGAGCGGCAGCTGCTCAGAGAAGTGAGAGAGGCAGGCAGAGCGGGAGCAAACGAGCGGGAGAGCGATGTAGAGAGGGAGAGAGAGAGTGCAAATGAAGTGAGACCGGGACCGAGTGCGCTGAAAAGCTGGAGAAATCATGTTCGAGTTCCAATGTCCAACATATCGCCCACATATTGGTCAGCCGATGTGACTGCGTGTGTCACGCAGCAGAAAGATATCGAAGAATGCAATCGGCTGTGGCCGCAACATAAATCAATGTCACGTTTGCGGCCCTTGCAACACCGCCTTCGTGCACCCGCGCACGTAGCGTCCAGATACCACAACAACATACTCGTAAACAATAACAACAACAACAACAACAACAACAACAGCGCACACAACTCAGGGAGTATCAGGAACGTGACACGTTACTTAAATTTGCCAGCCATTATGTTAACATGTACAAACACTGCCGCTCAAACGAATAGGTTCAAAAAAGTGCGGAAAACAATTTCTTCAGCTTTTACAACATTCTAAATAAGCAATTTATTTAATTTGTATATTAATAAACTATTACAAATTAAAAAAAGAAACTCAAGTAGTGTCTTTTAAAACAAAAATACTTACAATAATAAACAATGCTTCAACATTTATAGCTAGAACAGAAAATATAATAATATAAAATAATAATAAATAAATATAATATAATACCAGGAGCTAAATATAGCGACTCACCAGCCACGTTTCTTAAACATAGAAATTTGTCAATCTGCTCAGAAATAAAGCTCCACCTTATAGAAAAATATCCGGAATGCTTTTCTTTAATGTTTATCGAGCCACGTTTGGAAATTGTAAAAACTGTATGAAACAAACACGGATCGGTTGGTCTGCTATACGAAAAATGATCAAGAGCAGCTAGATCGCGTGATCTGAAGCTCCAAGAACAACTTCCTTTTGTGGAGGTGCCTGTCATCCTAACACGATCAGCTTTAGAAGGATACATCAAGCGCGGAAGTCGCGAAATACCGATTCAACTGATTGAAAAATTGAGCCTGCAGAATGCACTTTCACAGACACCTCTATATCATGTCCATCAATAAAACTATCTACCGAACAATAAGAAAAAAAATGACTATTTCATTTATAGCAAGTAGGTCGGCAGTAGGGAGTGTTAGGAAAGCAATCAAGAATAATTATATTAATACTACCATTCCGGTTGTTGCCTCTCTTCATTTGATCAAATAGCTTTCCACTAATATTTTTCACATTAATTGTATATATTTTTCTTTTGTAAAATTTGAATACCTATTCAATTGATAGGCACTGTATGAATTCGCGGCGGCCAAGTGAAAGGCGTGCGTCGCACATAAGTCAGACTTATAGCCCGATCGCCAACCTCATCCCAGCCAAGCCGTGCCAGCAGCTTTAAGACTGTTGTTGTTGTTGGTGTTGTGGTTCTTCTTTTTTTCGTGGTAATGACAACGCACTTAAATTTTTTAACTTTCGAAGTTGCTACTTCAATTATGTGAGACGCGGCCAAAGTGCGGAGTATTGTTATTGCCCATAAAAAAAGAGCAGGCCAGCTCATTTCAGTCCAGACCGGGCTTAAACAGTAGATGGCTGGCAAGAAAATAAAATATATACATACATGCATACTCGTATATAAAAAAGTGTATACATGTATGTACAAAAGTATATACAAAATGTATTTTTGAAAAAACCAAACACGAGCTCACGGCATGACCAGCATATGTAGGGCTTTTGCTGCCATTGTCTGCCACGACAAAACCTCAGACCCACACACACACACACACACACATACACAAATTATGGCACACACGCGCAGCTAAAAGTTTGGAAAATTTGGTTATAAGACGATGACCGACTCTGACTGCACTGGATATACGACATAAATGTAATTTGAGAGCTCCCCTAGAATGGCATAATGGCTCACTGATTGACTGCATGACTGACTGCATGATAGATGTATCGCATGACGGCTGTGTTTGGTTTGCTGATCTAGTTGTTTGACTTGCTCAAGCTGGCATTGCCTGAATGATAAAACTGCCTTTATTTACATTGGAACCACACTGCAAATATACAAGTACATAATTATTATACAGTATTTATTATTTAAAAGTGCTCATTTATACATACTATATGTGCTAATTCTAACAAAGATTGCGCCCCTTAAGAGATCAATCCTGAGATTTGCTTTTCTCCCCCACAGGAAATAGCTCTCGCCCTTCTTTATTGGAAATTAAACCAAAATATATATAGTAAATAATAGAGTTACGATCCCTTTAGACCGAAATTGAAATCTTCTCTGATGACTGAAAGTATTTCTCTCCAAAAGCAAGATCTTTTTTAACTTAAAAGCATATTAGAACTTGGTAAGAACTAAAACTAATGTTAACAAGTTCCAATGCAGTTTTCGATTGATCGCCAAACTCTCTCACCTTGGACCACTCTAAGCATAGCAGAGCATTCCGTGGGCGACTTGTCCCATTGTAACCAAAAAAAAAAAAAAAAAAAAAAAATCAAATCAAATACATACTTGTATATACCTGATTGTTTTCCGTCTTAACTCGCTTTTTGGTATCAACAGACTCAGACACAAAGCTAACCTTTCAAAATATACACAAACTGCTTTTTGTTATTCTCTTTCCTTTCCTTTTTTCTTTTTGGTAATTTAAATTGGACATAAAAGAAAAGCAGAATAATGAAATTCGAAACATTAAGAAAACAAAAACTAAAAACCAAGCCAAGAATCAAAAAATGTAACCAAAGAACGCAGCAAGATATGGAAATGGGGGGGGGGGGGGGGAAGAATACAAAATTGAACAGAAATTTTGAGCTTCAATTAAGAGGGTAACTGGTGAGCTGCGTCGCGCCGCGCCGCGCCGCCCCCTCCTGAAGGTGATTTTAAATTTTGGACAAAGTTTCAACTGCTCGTGCCCGCTCCCCTCACTCTAGCCCTCTCTCCAGCCCCAACAATTTATGGCTTGCGCTGCAATTGTTGCTCCAATTTGTTCATTGTGCGCGATCAGTTTAATTTAAGCTTAATTCGTTTAAATAAATAAGACCTGCTCAGGCTTGGCCAGTACGAGAGAGCGGGAATGAGAGTTATAGAGAGATAGAGAGTGAGAGCCAGAGCCAGAGCGAGAGCGAGAGAAAGAGAGTTTGTGTGTGTGAGAGAGAGAGAGAGGAAAGGAGCAGAACAAGTAATGAGAGTGGCTCAATCAGCTCAAAGCCAGTGTGAGCGCTGAGTTAGGAAGAGCGCGAGCACACACACACATATACAGACGCACACACATACATAAACTATAAGAAATGAACGCATTGCTCGGGCATTGAGCATTGAGCGTTTTATAATTTGAGCCAAGCTGCGAACCGCCGTCGTCGTCGCCGTTTCCTTTGCCATTTGAGTGAGTTTTTAGCAATATTCACAGCTCAGCGCAGTCGCACAAGCGAACGTATCCACGCCACACCGCAGCAGACGGCGAAGCTCGAAATATATGTATATATATATATGCATATATATATGTATATACGTTCAGTGTGTGTTTTTTTTTCGTCTTTTTTGGAGTGCGTCTTGGTCTCGGTGACAACAGATACAACTTATTGACGGAGAGCCACAGATACAGCTGCAGCAGCTACGAATACGCCAGAGACACTATAGCAGCAGCAGCAGAAGCAGAAACAGCACTATAGCGTTTTATATATAGACAGCGTCGGTTTTTGTTTAAGTTGCGCGGTTTTAGTTTAGTTGCGCGTGTTTTGTTGCAGCGACTGCAGCGGTCGCAGCTGCTGTGAAAATCGCGCTCGCCGCTAACGACGACGACGTCAACGACGACAACAACGTGCGAATTTGTTATTACAATTTGTTTGTTTGGAGCCCAAGGGTAACATTGGACATTGGAAATTCTGCCACCCCCCACCCACCTACAAGAGCTCAGCTCAGCTCTGTTCAGCTCTGTTCAGTTCAGTTCCACAGCATCATCTCCAGTTCTGAGCTCCGTATTTCAAGCCCAGGCACAGGCAAGCCGCCCAACTGCAACTAACCAAGTGGAGAACCTGTTCTAGGTCTCTGTGCCTGTGTCTGTCTGTCTGTCTGTGTCTGTATCTGTATCTGTATCTGGGTGTTTGTGTGAGTGTACGTGTGTGCATGTGTGTGTGCTTGTATGTTATTGTCGCTGCTGATACTACGGCCGCTTATGCAAATTTATAAGCCAGAGCGACGCTCGCACACCTAGCCCTGGCACTGGCACTAACACTGGCAGCTGACTTGCAACAGCCGCAGCACTCGCCGCATCTGACGCAGAACAATGAAAGTTCAGCAGCTGTGACGCAAAATACAATAACAACAAAAACAACAGAGCTAACGACAGCGACAGCAAGAACGCGGGAGCGTAGAAGGCAAAGAAAACGACGCAGAACACAGGACGAGAGGACTAGAGGACGAGGTCGAGCCACCAGATTCAACAGCCGCAAAACCCAAGTGGATTCTGAGTAAGTTCCAAGCCAAACCAATCCAACCCAAACCCCAACCGCAGCCCTAAACCCACCTGACAAACATTTTCTTTGTTTATTTGTTTGTACAAGTATATTGCAACTGCTTTTGTTTCTGGTGTTGTGTAACGCGTTGTTTCTTACCACACAGTGGTGTGACAACAAACTCGGTTCCTAACTGATTGAATGATAACCCCAGCGAAAGAATGAAACGAACTGACAGATTGTGACATTGACTAATCAGAGGCAAGCACCCACAGCACCCACACCCTATACTTGTATATACTTGCCTCATTAGCCAATTGTCACCAAGTTGGGCAATAAAAATGTGCTGTCACAAAGCTACGCTTGCCATTATTAAAGTCTCTCACGTTCTCCCATTGCTAAAGAATGTGGAATAGGTTCTTTGCAATGGAAAAAGCCAGGGAACAAATTAAATGAAATCAAGATTGAAATTCTAAAGATCAGAGTCTCACACAAGATCATCTCTAACGGTAACTTCAGACATTATTGTTGAACATAACAACTGGAAATTAAATGATCTTACACCAGAATGGAGATCTTAGCTGCCATTACCATTTAAATTATTTGCAAGGCCTTGATCAACTTAATTTTGAGATGATTATGGAATTTGCATTTAGAGGACAATAGGTCCAGCACGATTTACTCATGGAAAGTGTTCCGAATGATATATTTTTGAACATGCCGAGGGAGATACTATGAGAGACTGGGTTAAAAAGTGCCTCATGATAACCACCTGATTAAACACACAATGATAGCTGTTTAAGCTATGAAAAGATCAGTTCTCTGTTCTCAGATGCCTCACTCTCTCACATTTGATTGCTTTTCGCTTCTGTTCTATTGTTTGGTGGGGCCATCAAAGATCCACTTGGCAAGCGGCTTTTGAAGCACTTCCAGAAACATAAGTTGGCCGAGCGCGTAAGAAAACATTCCCTCGCAGCCACATAAAGCCTTTCATTATGCCGCCCAGCAGCCAGAACGGAAACAGTCAATTGAAAGAGAGGCTAGGCATTTTTTTTATATACTCGTACAAGCATACCCTATTGTTCTGGAGGTGGTGAGCTTCCACAAACACTAGCCACCGGGCTATCCATTTGTTCGGTAAGGAGAAGACCGATCGGATACAAAGAAATACATTTTGCCGGTAATTGGGATTTTTGGGGCCTTTTTCTTTAACACAGGTCATTTCGATTTTTCAATGCCCGCTATTAATGACAAGCCATTAACTATGTTTTCATTCTTGGTTTATACTTATTATATCAAGGCGGTTTATTCATTAAATTAAAGTCTCGTTTCGTAAGAAGTGGGGCCGGTGAGAAAATGGAATTCTCTTGATAGATAGGGATGCATTTTTATAGATTTTGTATTTTTTTTTATGTCTTTTTTATGGGTAGATGTCTTGATTGTTGTGGACGATTGGTTTCCATAGTCCCTAAGCTTCAACGATAGCTAGAAATATAGTGACTTACTATTACTTGATCGGTCCGTTACAAGAAAGGCAAACCAATGAACCAATAACCAGAAGGTCTACAAGTATATGCTACAAAATTATTGAAAACATCTAAGATCGTTGCATTTACAAACTTTGGCGACCCTTCAGTTCTGTAGCTTATGCCACACATACTACCTTCCAGCTATTTTTTTTTACTGACCACGCTGTGTGTGTCTCCCATGGGACTGGCTGGACCTATTATGTGCACGCTTCTTGCAATTATGTGTACATAGTTGTGGTTTTCGTTTAGTTATACGCGTTTTCAATGCAGTTCCCGACGCAGACAGAGTTGCAGCTGCCACACACAGGCAAACACACTCCCTAATGGTTGATAGACAAAGAACATACGTGCGTTGGGTTAATGGAACGTCGCAGACACGTCAGCAACTTCCGCTTTTGTTTTGCTTTGTGTGTGTGTGTGTTTTTTTGTGCTTGTAGTGCAGCTGCTTTGGACAAACTAAAAAAATAATTATTAAAAAAAAAAAAACAAAGCAAAGCAACGGCTACGACAACAAAACAATTGTATAGTTAGTCAATGCAATTAAGCAATTCGTTTGTGCCATCGCTTGTGACGTCACAAGCAGCAGCCAGCATCGGAAGCTGCGCTCCCCCGCTCTCTCGCAATCTATAATCGGTGCACTGCAGCCCCATGAAGTTTTCAGCCGGCGATTATATATACACACGTATATATACGGAGCTGGTAATACACACGTATTTATGTTAAGGTTAAAACATCTAGCGAAAAAATGTAAAAAACTTTAGCTATTTTAATTGCTTCCACACACTCGCTCGCACGCTCAGACTGAGGCAGGCTGGCAGGCTGGCAGGCGGCTTAGTCACAAATCAAAATGAATCTGAATCAATGTGTCAACAGTTGTCAAGCAGTCTGAGTTTCATTTGCTATCGCACTTAATTGCCATTTGAATAATGTTAAGTGCATAAATATTTCAAAATACTTGCATGTCAATATATTACTATATATTCCCCATACGCGAAGATTATTTGCAAACGTTCAGACTGACTTTATTTAACTTCTAATAACTGAATAAGTAATTGCAATTACCATTCTTTTGCTGCAGTTAGTAATAATTGTTTTTGTTAGAATAAAGGCTAGGCCAGTATTATTAGTACCAAAGAAAAACAAGTGCTTCTAGAGTTTACCAAATTGTTTTGTTCTACAAGTATATAAAATATCTAATACTCCAGCATTAATACGTGTTCTCCAGAAGCTCCGAAAGTTTCCTAGAATAATGCAAAATTTGTCTCATCTGTTTAATCACTCTTATCAACCCCATACATAGTTCAGTTCCCGCTCATAATGCCTTTCTCGTCATAACTCAAGAGCTCAAATTATTGGTATTACGAAAGACAAGGCAAATTATAATTTAGCACGAAAATTAAATAAAACCCTCTTTTAAGCTAGACATTATCTTGGGCTATAGTTCTTGTACTTTGATTTATCCTCCACTATTCAAGCTTTTAGTACTTTTTTAGACTGCTCTTAGCCTTCACTATCTCATCAGTGCACGATTACTTGTTCAGCTGTAGTTGCTGCCACTTTAGAAATGGATTATATTTCGTTAGAGTTTTTAAGTGAATATTCATTGTTAGTTGGTTGGTTGGTTTTAAATCGAACAGTAAACTATAGTTAGATTTGACAAACTACTTCACACTCAGAGTCGCCCTCTTCTGTGGGAATTTAAAGCTAATTGAAGGTAGCACCTCAATGCTTGCCACAGTAGTGTGTCCGAAAGAACCTATAAATGTGGATAGCACATCAGGTAGGGGTTGGTTGAAAAGCTCGGCTCTCAAGCCAGATGGTTCCCACCCCAATGTTATTTTTGTTTCGCTCTCTCGCTACCGACTATATGTGGCTTGGGTTGATGGCGAAACCACACAACACCTGTCACACTAAAAAATTAAAACAAGAAAAACAAATGCACGTGAACAAACGAACCCCAAGCTAAATGCCGACCCCATGAAATTTGCAATTTGAGCTTCGCAAGTGCCTGCAATTTTTTTTTTTTTTTTGTGAAATGATAACGACTTGGTTGAAAAATTGCACAAAATTTGCGTTTTGCGTTTGCAGGTGTTGAAGAGGGCGGCAAAAATGACAGCGACACGGCAGCAACTAATACCCATGGCCTTGACAATGAATGTTGTGCATGTTTAACTGTACATACATATATATGTATCTCCACAAGCGTGTGTGTGTGTGTGTGTGTGTGTGTGTTAATGTCTGTGGCTACTTGCTGCCGCCTTTGTTCTACTCGTAGTAGAATCATAGTTGCAATTCTAAAAGGCATTGCCAGTGGCTTGGGCCGTCTTTCACGCAACTGAGGGGTTAAGCATTAAAGGCAACTCATTATCTAAGCAGCTTTTACTATTTAGCTTCTACTATTTTAGCCACTCATATTACACAACAAATAATCTGGTGCCTAGGGAGTTGCACTGCCGAAGCTGTTCTTTCAAAATTCGCATATTTTCGAAATGATTTCAGAATAGAATCCTATTCTGAGTTACCAAAAATTTATACTTTCCATTATTTTTTCACCAGCTACTGGTTTTATGTATCTTCCTGCTAATTGAGAAATATTTTGAAATGTTCATTTAACATTATTTAATCATACTTTATATAATATACTATATTTGTTGTTTATCTTATGTATTATATTTAAAAGCTTAGGCCGCCGTTTTCATTTACATAAATAATTTTGTATTCATTCCTGATTTGCTTGCGTTAATTATTACATCTGTTTCTGCTAATTTGTTTATTTTTTTTCTTGGCTCATGCTATAGCAAATATTTCCTAAAGCGAGCACGTTTTGAAAATGTATACTATACTCTGTAAGCCGGGTAATAGGATATGCTGGCTTTGTGCGAATGTTTGTGATAGACAGCATGAAAGTATGCCATTTGATACCCTGCACCCAAATGAAATAACCCCCTTTATGAGTCAAAATAGCCATTTTCGTCTGTTCGTCCATCTGTACGAGAGTACCTTGGAAAGCTAGACTAACTCCTAGGTATGCTTATTCCCCTAAGTCTGAGAAAGGACAAGTTTATGTTTATTTCTCTGTTGCAACTCCACTCCCACTTCCGTCCTTTTCAAACCCTTATGTGTCGTCTTATTAAGATTCTTCTTGATGTGCCATTATAAAGGAATTAAAAGCCACAAAAAAATTATCTGGCCATGCTGCCAATAGCATATTTTTAATGAAATTGTTGTTGCATAGTCAATTAAGATTTTAAATATTCTTTGAATGGAACTGGCATGAAACATTTGTTTAATGACTTTGAAAAATGTTTTTCGCCAAGCCGTTGCTTGTTTCAAATTGATTCGGCAAAAGAATTATGGAATGCTAATAATTGTTAGAAACAACTTGCTGTAATACTTGTATGTATTTAAAAAATTGCCAGTTGAACTAAGTTCTATATTCTTTATAGAAATTGAAAGAGTAAAGAGTAAATAAAACTAACTGTTGAAGCTACGCAATTGATGAACATCGCGTACTTCATTTATAAACATAACTCAATTATTCAACAGTTCAGGGATATATTTCATGGTTTATCATTAAATATAGCGTACTCTTTTGATATGTTCAGAATAAGTTAGGATTTTACAAAAAATAATTCAAGAATTAAACTAATAATAATAATTAGAATAAAGAAGGTTCATTTGGAGTCTAAGAAATTGGTCATATATATAATATGAAATGTAAGTTAATGTTAAAGAATAAGAAGATAAGCTAAAAAAAAAGCCAAAATGTATGGCCCATAAATATTTAATCAATAAATATGCCGATGTATGCATTCAGTTATAAAAGCGCCTTATCGGTAAAAACAAAATACTTTATTTCTAAAGAAAAACATGAAATGAGTTTAAAAAATGGCAATTAGGCAATTAATAAAAGGCAAGTTATGCAAAAAATGGAATGAAATTGGAACTTACAGTCCATTAAAAACTCAAAAGTGACAACGTATCTTAATAGAAGTGTTCCAGAATTCTGAGTACCACCTTTTGATCATTTTTTTCAGCATATGCAAGAGTATTTTTTCCAGTTTTTGCACAAAAATGCCAACAATTTTATCGTCAAATATTAATTGCACATATGTTTGTAACTAAATGGTTTTAAGATCGACTACATCATACGTAGAGCTGGCAAAGCAATAATCCGTATATATGTATGTACTATACTTATGACAAATGTGCTAAGCCATTAATTTTTTCACAGCGCACCAACAATCAGTTCTGCTTCACACACTATATTGGCTAAATCAGTGCTCAAGTCTGCATCATTTGAAATGTTTTACTTTTCCCAGAACAGATTCCAGCATGCCCCCGCCTTCAGATATTTGACTAATTGACCCAATACAAAGGCATATATGTACATATATATCGGTATAAGCATTGCATAGCTGAGTTAAAAAGGTCGCGGCACCTTAACAATTTGTTGTCACCTCGCCTGAGATTTTTTATATTTTTTATTGTAAGTCGTCTTTTTGAGATCCAATTTCGTTTGCGTTGCATGCAAATCGTCTGGGACAGAGGGTGGGGCAAAGGCCGCAGCAGCTGTTTGCGTGCAGGGTGCATTGCACCCAAGTACAACAACAACAGCAGCAACAACAATAATAACTACACACATTTGTGGAGCAAACGCCAATTACAGATTTAAATGGCGCATCAATTTCACTCGAAAAACGAAAAGGCCGGCCGCCCCAGCCAGACGACCAACGATTCTGTCAGTCAGGGAATTGATAGCGTTGCTTAATTGAAATTGAAGCTGTAGCGCTTGTCTGCAGATTCTATTAGTTGATTTATGAATATGCCTGTGGCAGGCCACCCCTTTCCCATCCCCGTCCCCCTCCCCATCGAAGTTCGACATTAAAAATAAAAATAATAACCACAAGAGCAGCAATCAGCAGCATTTGGAAAACTATCGTGTTGTATTGATTAAAATGTTAAGCATTACGATAAACAAATGACAAAAAGTGAGGCAAAAAATTTACATTTTTCGGCAAACTTCAATTAGCAAGCTATTTGTTTTGTTCGCTAATCGAAGAGACAACGTTTTCAAACAACAAAGGTCTACAAAGGCGAACAAGCTGCCTCTTCGCCTGCGACATTTTCAATCAAACTAATGTTTTCAATATGCCATCGCCAGCAATCTAACAATCTCGCATTGTTCCTTATCTTTACAGTTGATATGCGTCGGCTGTGTGTTATCATTAACAACGACACCTCCAACAACAACAACAACTACAACATCGAAAACAAAACTAAATTGAAGATCACATTAAGAGCAAACGCCTAGCCGTCTTACGTTTACCAACACTGCCGCACAGCGTGTCTTCTCATAATACAAGAACAACAACAACAACTACAACAGCCACAACAAAAAAAAAAAGACTACTTTTTCTCGCACTTGCACTCCCACTAAAGCCAAAACCGTGCCAAGATGTATAAGCTATTGGGCAGCCTGAAGAGTTACCTCAAATGGCAGGACATACAAACGGATAACGCCGTATTCCGCTTGCACAACTCCTTTACCACGGTGCTCCTGCTCACCTGCAGTCTGATCATCACGGCCACCCAATATGTGGGCCAGCCGATCAGTTGCATTGTGAATGGCATACCACCGCATGTGGTAAACACATTCTGCTGGATCCACAGTACTTTCACCATGCCCGATGCATTTCGCAGACAGGTAAGTCAACCAAGTTTATCTTCGCCGCTCTCCGAGAGCATTTCTTTTTTTAAGTCTACAAAGATATAAATACCTCAGCAAAAACACATTGAAGCCAGAAAGCTTACACAATAGTTACACTTACGAAATAGTAATCACAATAGTTACACTTACGAAATAGTAATCAGAATAGATTCTCTGGAGAAGTCTCCAGTCTCCCCTATTTTCCATAATACTAACTCTACAAATTTGATCCACCTATTCACAATGAGTGCACTCTTTGCACGATAAAAATAGTCTTTATTTTACTACAAGCTCTACACAAATATAGCTTACCACCGCAATAACACAATTAAATAGTTACACTTACGAAATAGTAATCAGAATAAATTCTCTGGAGAAGTCTCCAAATAAATCCAAATTACTAATTCTACAGATTAGATCCATCTATTCACAATAAGCGCGCTCTATGCAAAGTTAGTCTTTATTTTACTTACTCTCCAAACTCTACACAAGTATAGCTACAATGATATATCCCCGCGATATCACAATTAAACCAGAGAAACTTACATAAAGCCAAATAGTAATCAGAATAGATTCTCTGCAGAAGTCTCCAGTCTCCGCAAATATCCAAAATACTAACTCTACAAATTCGATCCATTTGTCACAATAAACGCGCTCTATGCATATCAAAGTTAGTCTTTATTTTACTTACTCTACAAACTCTACTGAATGCAAATATAGCTACAATGATATATAATTAAGCCGCAGATCTTTACATAAAGCCAAATAGTCATTAGAATAGATTACAAACCCTACATATTTGATCCACTTATTCATAATAAGCGCACTCTATGCACAAAAAAGACTTGCAATTTATTCTACAACAACTCGACAGCTGAATGCAAATAAAGCCACAAAGATACAAATTTTTACACTTACGAATAGTAATCAGAAGGGATTCTCTCCACTTGAATCCAAATTACTAACTCTACATACATACGTTATCCATATAATCACAATAACCGCGCTTTATCCACAATAAAGACTCACTACGTTCTCTACAAATAGAGAGGAGTCTATTAATAGTCAGCAAAAAGTGCAATCTCTACAAATCTATTATTTGAAATTGCAATGCAAACCTATATGTAAAACCTCATCGACAATTAAATAGAACAAACTCTTTTAAAGAAAATATCATAAAACTCTACAAACTCTACACAACGAATTCGCATTATCGCGTTGAAATCTCTGCATAACAATTTGTTTTGACAAACACATTTAGTGCGCAACCAAGCTACATAAATTCTAAAGATGCAGTCTACAAAGTCGTAAAACCATAAAATGCTGATCACCATGGGGGCATAAACAATCTCCAAATGCAAGTATTGCCTTTACTTTCATTATTATCATTTGGGATATATATGAATACATGATAAGTAATTGCTATATACTCTCCACTCTACACTTTATTTTAAATTTTTGGAAATTAAGTGTTGTTTGATACTCAAACAAACGCGGACTGTTGGGTGTGTTGTCTACAAACTCTCCATCGAACAATTTGAGGCTTCGGAAACATCTAAGCAATCTTCAAAATACAGAGAAGCGTACTTCATTGTTGTTGGATCAATTTAAATGCCACTTCCTCTATGGCATAGTAAGTAGCTGCGATTGAGTTCTCCATTTATTCTCGTACATACAACTATACCTCAGTCTATTGAGCCCATTGTCAAAAGCTGTATGCCGCCTGCCATTTTGGAGGCTGTCACATCCTCTCTCCTCTATCGCCGCATAAAGCACACAATAGCCGCGCACGTCTCGATCTGGCCAGGTAATACCTATATTCGTATTCAGGTATTCAGGGTGCGGGAACGGGAACCACGCAATATTAATGCGCGCCACTATAAAGCAATTATAAAATGGGCGTTGTCCGCGTTGCTCTGCCACGCACCGATTTATGTGCGAGTTATTATTTTTGTGGTTATTGTCGATGTCGCTCGTGTTGTTGTTCTTGTTGTTGTTGTTGTTGTTGTACTGTCAGCCCGGCCGCCTGCATGTCGCGCATGCGCAAAGGCACACCATAAAAGCTTCGCCCCAAGTTGTTTGTGACCCGAAAAACAGAAAAGAAAAAACAAAGTTGAAAATAAAGCAGAGCACACACACACACACACACACAGATGGGCTACCCACAAAATAAATGCGTTTTAAATTGAATTTGCGAAAGAGGCTCGATGAATACGACCAAGGCAGACCCAGCAGCCAACCGAGCAGGAGGCTCACAGAAGCTCAACAAGGCACAAGATTCAAGTCTCGGCTCAAATTTCAAGGGACGCAGGAAACCGTCTGCTTCCATTCGTTTCTTAGAATTTCTGCTGACTGTAAATTTTAAATGCAAACTCTCTCTTATAATTGTTTTTTCATCAGGGAATTTTTTGACAAAGACAGCCTTCAGCCACCACCCTCGAAACGAAAAATTGTTTATTTGCTTGTTTGTTTTTCAAAGGCAAGAACGGATTGAGAGAAGGGTTGTGGTATCTACTGATTTATTTATTTATTTATTATTATTATTTTTTTTTTTTATTTAAGTTAAATATATTATAAAATAATATACTTAAGGGGTAAGAGTACTAGCTACTGAGGCCTACGACTCTATGGTAATACTATGTACAAAAATTAGTTATTATTATTATTTCCTAGTGTGACAAGAAAAATTCTTAAATATAGTATTAATGCACTAGTCAAAAGAAACATGCAATTTTCATTAAACAAATTTAAGAGGGTTTGATTAACCTACTTAATCTATTTCATAAAATTGGAGATACATCTAAAAGACTATTTTATGTTGCAGACATTTTATGTTGTTAGTTACTTATTTTTAAGAACAAATTGAATTGTTCCCTAAATTCCGATGCACTACTAATTTTCTTGAAATATTGAGGTAGTTGATTCCACAGGCGAATAGCATGAATAAAGATATTGTTTATATTATTAGTTCTTGAGGAGGCACCAAAACGTAGTTTTTCATATAAGTAGCCCGGTTCTCTGGTATATCTTTTATGCAGATTCCTTAACTGACCTCTTGAGGTCTAAAGTCCAGATCTAGACCTATATATCCTGATCTTATTCGTCAGTGCCTACTCAGTTATTTTCTCCTCTTTGGCTAAACTCTAATTATAATGTTACCATTAAAGAAGTTCTCTCTTGCCTGAGAGTTATAATGCCTGTCCTATAAGAACTCAAGAGCAGGATATGATATCAGGATGTGGACCAAGAATTACAGTCTTAACGCAAATTCTTTCTTTTAAGTCACATACGAAAGATGACTATAATTTAATGGTTTATTTTATTGGAGTTCCAATCTTATCCAAGTCTACCCATCTTCTTGTTTTGTCAATTGCCAAAATATTCAAATATCTCTTCTTTTAATTAAGCCAGTTTCAGTTCAAGATGTTTGTATTACTCCCAAAAAGAAAAACGGTCTTTAATCCAAAACAGGCTAACCTCAGCGTAATATATACTATTCATAGGTGCTATGAAAACGCAGATAGAGACTCTGAAGTAGAAATCTTTGGATGCAACGAAATATAGAAAACTGAACCAATCGCTTTTATATATGACTGAAAAAACTAGGACTAGTAATTAGTTTATGAAATAATTACTTTTCGATTACGATGGCAACTTAATATGAGTTTTTTTTATCTCTATTGGTTCCTACCTCCGTGCCGGTCTGCTATAAAGAGCTTCTCTAAAATATATTTAATTATTTTATTATTATAATATTATTTTTTTATAGCTCATGCTCTTTGTCTTCTATGCTATGAAGCTGTTCTGCTTTGATTTTAAAAACCTATCATCGTACTTATAATAAAAATATTATAATTTATATATATAACATATATATAATACATATATATACTTATAATATTTTACATTGTCACAATATTGTAGATGAAATTAATGGAAGAAAATCCATAGAATCGTATACACAACACTGGCAGATAAAAACCCAGAAAACATATTTCTAGATTACAAGATAAAAATCTTGGTCAGGCAGGCAAATAATTTGCACACAGATTTGTCGAGTTTTTACAAATAAACTTGAATAAAATACAAGTATAATACAATAATATTACTTCAATTGAAGTAAATAAGAACTATATTAGTTTTCTGGTAAAAGCGTCTTTACGTATTTCTTTCCAACGCCTGCTGGTAGAATACAAGTAACACAAAAATTGTGGCCTATAACTTATTGTACACATATTGTATACAGATTACTGAAGAAAAGACTGCTCTTTTCTTGAATATAAGAAAATACACTAGATAGATGCGAACAGCATTATTTTTTTAACCTATGATTATTGCTAAATTTTTTGTTGTTCTTTTTCTTGCAGGTCGGACGCGAAGTGGCGCATCCTGGCGTGGCCAATGATTTTGGAGATGAGGACGCAAAGAAGTACTATACCTACTATCAGTGGGTGTGCTTCGTCCTCTTCTTTCAGGTAAGTGATTGTCTAGACGGCGGTCGTGGCTCGTTGCACGTGGCGTATGCGTAATGTGCTTCTAATGATGATTTATGGGCTGTCAATTGAAGGCATAGCCGGTCCCTGGTCCCAATCAAATGCCAATCAAGCGAGTCTAAAAATATACCCCTTGGTATGTAAAATAACAGTCGTTGTCCACTGCTTGGTTCCAGAGACGTGCTTTCAATTCCATACGCATAGACATACTCCAATTAAGTTTAATTGGACGCATGCGTGTTTTGTGTGATCGGTGATGGGGGATGGGGATGGTGATGGGGATGGTGATGGGCATGGTGATGGGGTTCGGGGATAGAGCGGGGAAGGTGGTTGTGTGGTGGATGTGGTGGGTGCGATCAACTCTTGGTATTTGCTCAGTTCAATGTTTCAGCAAGTGCGCTCAATCAAGCATGATTGCGTGCTGGTTGCGCAAACGCACAGCAACTTAGCGCGCCCCTTACATATTATGAGCAAACATGAAGACGACAACAATGCAAACAACAAAAAACAAGAGGCATGAGCAACAATCACTGGAAGTTGTGAAATGCCAAGCTTTTGTGTAATGACTTGTCAAAAAATAGCAACAAAAACAGCAACAAAACAACAACTACAGCACCAGCCGCTTTGACGTACTCGTCGTATGTTAAGAGTCAAGGCAGTGCTTAGCATATGTTTGTTTTTTTTTCTTCTTCTAATTTTCTATTTTTTCCGATTCTGTATGCCAATCAAATCAAGTATTCGTTGTCGGTGGCTCACAAAACATTCAGTTCATGATTCAATGGAAGAGAAACTTTTGAAAAAGTATCGCTTCATTTGCTGCAGCAACAGCGGCCATTAACATTGCCATAACATTGTAATGTAACATTAACATTGTTCGGCCCTTTTAACAGCGCTGTACGTAGCAGCAAACGGAATTGAATGGCAGCTCTGTTGTTTCCAGATGCTGTTAAAATTCAATTGAAGAACACCACGAAATATTTGTTACACTACCGTCTAAAACAGAGTCTAAACTAAAGTCTCCACAGATTTTATACCCTTTACTCATACAATTTTTCCAGAGTTTGAAAAAAAAGAAACTATGTAGAAAAGAAATCATGAGTAGATTAGATATAAACATAAAAATAAAACTTGTAACTTTTATAGTTAACTGTTGTTTGTGTTTAAGCTTCAACAAAGAGAGCAACAACAACAACCGCAGCTTGGCAAGGACTACTTTCTTCTAAGTTCACCCATATATCAGGAAGAAACGTGACATGAGGGCAAAACAGAAAGAAAAGCGGAGGTTATTGTTTAATAGAATAAAACATTTGCTTGCCCTTTATCTCTTATAATTCGTGAGATCATATCGACTCATCTTGCATACTAATCGAAAATGAATTTTGTGAGATCTGCCATACGTTCTTCTAGGTGTTTACCGAGTTTGCTGACTCTAGCTCTTACAATTCTTGAGATACTTGCGTTCATACAGACGAACGCATAGACGTACCTCATCTTGCATGCTGAGCAAGAATATATGTATGAACTCTGTGAGAAGTGTACAAGTAGGGGTGTTTTACGTATTCACACAAAGTTATATAACTTTCACGAGATTTCATTCTCAGTTGCATGCATTTTGTAAAAATCATAAATATGTTTGCTTGACCAAATCTGGACCAACCCTCAGCCAGCTCTGCAAGGATAATCTCTCTTTACTGAGTGGAACTGCTGTTCATTTTTATGAATTGTTTCTAGACATTATGTCGTTGTTGTGGGATATATTTGTGATGCATAACAATTATATATACGATCGCACACATGCAACGAAAATGCCCAAATAAATTGGTCCTTTATTTAAATCGGATCTTTTGAAATTATCATGTTCTTGCTCTTCCACAGGCCATTGCGTGCTACACTCCAAAGTTTCTTTGGGACAAGTTTGAGGGCGGCCTGATGCGAATGATTGTCATGGGTCTGAACATAACGATCTGTACGCGCGAGGAGAAGGAAGCTAAACGCGATGCACTGCTCGACTATCTGATCAAGCATGTGAAGGTGCGTACCCATTCAAGGGCCCTCCAAATTAAGAAACTAATGTGAAATATATATATATATATGTATCTTCTCTGTAGCGCCACAAGCTGTACGCCATACGCTACTGGGCCTGTGAGGTGCTGTGCTTCATCAACATCATTGTGCAAATGTATTTGATGAATCGCTTCTTCGACGGGGAGTTCATGTCGTATGGCACGCGTATAATGCAGTTGTCGGATGTGCCGCAGGAGCAGCGCATCGATCCCATGGTATATGTGTTTCCACGGGTCACCAAGTGCATCTTCCACAAGTATGGTGCTTCCGGATCGCTGCAGAAGCACGACTCGCTCTGCATCCTGCCGCTGAACATTGTGAATGAGAAAACGTATGTGTTTATTTGGTTCTGGTTTTGGATTCTACTCATCCTGCTCATAGGCCTGATGATTTTCCGGTAAGTGCGGCTAACTTTTGTTGGTTTTGGTATCGTTATTTGTTGATGACACATCTTCCTCAATACAGCGGCTGCATCATCTTCATGCCCAAGTTCCGGCCACGTCTTCTGAATGCACGCAATCGCATGATTTCCATGGATACTTGTCGCGTGCTATCACGCAGACTGGACATTGGAGACTGGTGGCTCATCTATATGCTGGGTCGCAATCTCGATCCGGTCATTTACAAGGATGTGATGGCCGAGTTTGCCAAGCAGGTGGAGCCCTCGAAATATGAACGCACCAAATGATTGGCGCACCATCAGGCCCATGAATTATTATTATTTAGCACAAATCATGACAATTAGTTGAAAAGAGAAAGAAAAAAAGAAAACACAACAGCAACCGAAACCGAAACAATATCTGCAACAATATGCAACGCCTGATCACAACAAGCCCAGCACCGCCCCGCCCCAACCCATTCCATTTCCGATAATTCGACAATGAAAAAATCTAACGTAGTTCTGTGATTCAACGCATTAATCCGAAAGTTCTTCGTGTTGCAGCCTTTGGGGCAAAAAAAAAAACAACAACAACAACAAAAGAAACACAAAGTTCAAAAGGCTGGCATATGCCTGCGCCCATGCGCCGCCCACTGAATACAAACTAACATGCAACTGGAATCGTTGTGTGCGCCCTAACTTGGACCAATTCTTAATCAATGATCACAACTCGAATCGCATGGACAGCAAAGAAAATGAGAAAAGAACCGAGATTTTCCTTTGAACGTTTTCTGCTATAAAACAAAAAAGAAGCAACTAAATTTTTTTTCTTATTTTTAAATTTAATTTAATTGATAGCACGTATTTATGTAGTTTAAAAGACAAGAACGTAGCGTAAAGAAGAGAGTACCCGATTACCCTTTGGGTACAGGGTATAATGAGCCCCACGAAATTCTAAAAAGCTGCAAAACTGCACGCATTCTATGCAACTACTTGAGTGCAACTTTTTGCAGCAACCATTTACATACATTATAATACCTACATAGATATGCAACAAATGTGCGACGCTTCACAATAATACGAAAACATACACATAATAATAATAAATATTGCTTTTGAGTCTTTCATAACATAATAAACACTGTAACCGTTACTGTTGCATTAATGCATGAATGAAACAGCATAATTTGTACCTACTTAGCTCGAGGCGTTTTTTCGGCACATCCTTGAAGCGTATTTTGAAATCAGGCTCTTGGGCTGATTTTTATCGATGAAATGCTCTATGTTAAGTTTATTGTATAGTTTTAGGCGAAAATTGCAAGTTTTTTTTATAAAAATCAAAATATATATAAATATATATGTATTTAATAAAACTTCAAATACATAGATTGTGTCATCTTGTACTTTTATTTCGGTGATAAACAAATTCAAATTTAATTTCAAAATCTAGTTCACAAACATTACAACAGGTGGCGTATTGACACTTCTATGTTAAGTACTTATCAATGCTACCCATCCGCAGTGCAGCGATACCTCGAACAGTTGTGTGTTTGTACTCATAGGCATTATTTTCTGGCGGAATTCCGACAATTCAATAGATATTTCTAATTAAGACAGTTGAAACAAGTTGGCTTTGAGCGCAAATAAAACAAATCATTAAAATTGTCAAATATTACTGCAAATATTTTTCGCGTAATCGCAATTGCCTACTGTGCTTTGCAGCACTGGCCTGCCAAACAAACGTTTCCAGTTTGATTTCAACTTCTCCATAAGACGACTGTAAAAATCAAATTCTTCATAAAAAAAAAATACTTACATTTTGAACATCCCTGCCTGCGATTTATAGCTATAAAATAAATGGAAATTGTACGATTTAAAATATATTTTGACCGTCGAAAATTTAGCGTAAAAACTCTGTTTTTTACTTAAAACAAAAATCTAACAACAATAGAAAAGTAAGAAACAGTATTCATGCTTAACTGCTTTTATTTTTCAAAAGCTACCCTTTTCAAAATGAAAATTCAAAATTACGGTCCCTCTTAGAGCTGCATAGTGTTTGAAATGGTCACCGATAATTTTGATATCGATGTCTGCAATACATCGATTTCTTTTCACCACTAGCAGCAAAACGCACATCACAACTTTAAAGCATCAATAAATTTCCAAAAGAAATTGAAATCGAATTGTGCATAAATAAAAATAAATCAATAGTTTTTATTAGTGATAATTTGTATACACAACCCAAAATGTGATGTTAAGTGTATGTGTCCTCATCGCGCGAAAAACAACCTCGGCAAAGGCCAGGCAAGGCCTACGTTTGCGAAGAAAAAAGAGCAGTAGCCTAAATGTCGCAAAAATAAATAATCACACACAAACGCGCACACAAAACACCGATTAATTTTTTTTGCACAATTATGTGTGCATATGACGCAGTAGTAAAAAAATCATTAGCAATAGTGAGTGCAAGACGCTAGTGTGTGCGAAGAGTACGAGACGAAAGAAACACGCACGAAATGGCGGTGCAGCAAAATAAATAAATGAACGCAAACGCAAAATAAAAGAAAAAAACAAACATATCGGCACACACACACACACACATGCAAACACGCTCAGCAACTAAAATGTGGGCGCCGCTATTGCTGGCGCTGGATGTGCCCTACGTCAACTTTGTGGGTGGGAGTGGGATGTTCGGGCGGGAGGGAGGTAGTTGGCTACTGCAGACTAAAAAGTAATTAGGGGCCTCAATCAGCGGTGTGTCACAGTTACGGTGGTCGGCAAGTCGTAGTTAAATCCGTCAGATCTATGTATGTAAACAACAACAAGCCAGCACCTACACCAATACATATGTACATATAGGTATTATATACATATGTACGTACATATTTACATATGTATATAGATGTAAACATTTGTTAACTACTACTTTTATGCTAGAAAGAAAACAGAAAATCTTTTCAAGATTTCGGCAAAAAATGGCCGCACAAACGCCAAGTCTTGAACTTTAGTTGCTCACGAAAGTCACCTATATTTGAAAATTCGAGTGCGTGTTTTTTTTAAACAACCTTCTGATTTCGCCGTGTGCTAAGCGTTTAGTTTTCATTATTTGTGTCTTTGTTTGGCGCCAATTTCGTGCATTAATTATTTTCAAAAAATGTGTATGGAAAAACTGTTCTATGGAGTAGCAGGTTGACAAATAAGCAATCCGTTGACTCCAAATTTGCCTTTGTTGGTCGAATAAACGTTGTTGTAGCGCCCTTTAGTTCCAATACAGACGAAGCGAGGGTTTTGCGTATGTGTTTTGTTTTCGCTTTTGTTTTTGTATTGTGTGTTAATTTCTTCACGCCTGTGGCTGGTCCGTTCATGAAACGGTGACTGTGACCGGAGGAGGTGGCAGGGCAGAAGTTTGAGTGTGTGAAAAAAGCGCATTTAGCAGCGCTGTTGAGGCATTGCCGTAAGCTGATACAATATTCAACCCCCACAACACCCCAACGATAGCCCGCGGGCATATTTTTGCCACCACCACCTACCCACCCCCAATAACAACAACACAGATACGGCAACGTCGACGCCAGCGTTTTGCACGAACATTTCTGTACGCTGGACTCTGAGGTCAGTGTTGCCAATTCTTAGATGTTAGAAAAGGCCAAATCAGCAATTGAAAGTAGCCAGATTGGTGTATTAGTAACCTGTGCCAAAAGATTTCACCATTTCTTCAAGGACTCCATATCTATTACTACAAATTGATCTAAAATTACAATTGAAAACTTTGTTGTTAATGACATTAATACAACTCTCGCTAGAACAAATCTATTCAATGACTGATACGTGACAAGTGGTCGGATCTAGTAAATCTCGGTTCAGTTTAAGCCATACTATACTTATTTCTGAATGATAAATTCATCTTGCAAATATTAATAACCCAAAAATGATGCCAAACAAATACTGCAGCCAACAAACACAGATCTAAGTCAATATTAATACACAAATACATATATAATTGTTATAATACAAGGATTATTATAGGATAATAAAGAGTGCAGTCCCTTTTATTTAAGGGTCTTTTTGCTACCTGTTTTGTAGAAAAGTCAGTTGCAATAATCCTGTGGATAAAGGCAGCCGCGATTTTACAATACATATCCGCAATCGGCATTTTAGTAACTCCAGAACTGACGGGAAACAGCTAAATTGACAGCACTTTGTGGTCTGTCGGTCGAACGAAGGTGATGATTTTGTTGTTGTTGCTGGAGTACACGGCTAAAACAAGAAGAAGCAGCAATTCCAAAACTGTCGAAATGAAACGGCCTGTGCTCCACTCGCTCGCTCGTTTTGCCATTTCTGGCTCTCTATCTCCCTCAATCTCTTTTTGCTTCGCTTCTCTGTTTGACGCTCATTTTGCTCTCTTGCCCGTTTCCAAAAAACTTTTGGGCTCCAACCGCGCAGTCCTTTGTATTTTTATTTTTCACACGGCTTGGTAACTGTGTGAGTTTGATTGTTGCGTGTGTGCTTGTGGTGGGTCGACTGTGAAAATGCGCATAAAATATAAGGCAAACAAAATACCAGCGGCAACGAATAACGAGTTCAAAGCAAAAAATACAATAACAACGCGTGCGCAGGGTTGCTTATTATTTATAATTGCAAACCGAATTTATGTTACTTTTCTTAACACCAAATGCGTGCTTAAAAACATTTTTATTAATTGGCCACAAGCTCAACATTTCGCTGCTGCTCAAATTATTTTCCGTAGACTTTTTGCGACTTCTCGCAAACAAATTATGTGTCTTTCAACAATGACAGTTTAAATTTGTGTAGGTTTCGCGCTGCCTACGATCCAGTGCTACCCAACATTCTGCGCAACTACCCAGCACTGTTCTCGCCCGCGCATGCAACCCTGCGCCGCGAATGTAAATGCTAAAGCGTATGATCGAAAAGTAAGAACGGCAACAAAAATGTAAGAGGCAAAAGTGCTCTCTTTGTACCAAAAGGCTAAGACATGACCAAAAAAAATGCGCGCGGGGGAGCAAAACGAATGAGCCTAGCCAAACAGTAGTAACAGCAGCAGAAGGCAAGCAGCGCAGCCGCTAATCGTGCTCGTTGCCTTTTTGCTGTCGTCGACCGTCGCTTCCGCTCCCGTTGGCCGTCGATGTCCGTCGCGTCGCAAAAGCGAAGCCCCGAAAATTTTCCATTTTGAAAAAAAAGAATAAAATGTTCAACTTTGACGTTTTTATGGTGTGTGAAATAAAACGACGACAGCACCAAAAAGGAAAAGGCCAAAGCTAAAGAATAAGGCGCTAAAGCGCAAGAAAGAGCAGTGGCATAGAATGAAACGCGTGCAGTAAAGAAAAGAGAAGAGGTGGGCAAGAGCAAAAAAAAAAAGAAAAGGGAAAAACTATTGGGAAACTGTGAAAAAGGTCAAAATGTGGTGGAAAAATGAAGCAAATGTGAAAATTAAAGTTGTGTGGAAAAGCTAAAATTAATTTTTGTTGTTGTTCCCGCGCGCATGCCTCTGTATGTGTGTGAGTGCCCATCTACATATACGCGTGTTTGTGTCGTACATGTAAATGTTTCGCTGTCGGTGTTGCGTGCGTTTGTGTGTGTGCGTGCGTGCGAGAGTGTGTGAAGAAATTAATTCGTAAAACGCATTTACCCTTAAATACAAATTGTATATTTTAAACATACAAACAAATACCTACCTACATATATTTTTGATACGTATAATACTTTCAAATTGCAGTAGAATTATTGCACAAAAGATAAACGTAAGAAGCAAAAGCAACAAAACAACAACCGCAAAAACACTCAACGAGAATATTAAAAAGGAAATCAATAATAATAACAATAAATAAGCTCTGCTCCGTCAGTTGATGGTATGTGTGTGTGTGTGTCGATGATTGTATGTGCGTGTGTACGAAAAATAAGAAACTAAAAGAAAACAAATAGTTGCTGCAAGGAAAGGTTAAAGACAAATTAACCAACCAGAGGCGGCCGCAACAAAAATGTGGACGGCGAGCGAACGCGCCACAGCAGCGCCCCACTTCGCAGCATCTCCAGCCACCGCCACCACACGAACGACAACAACAACAACAACGTACGCAGTAGTAATAGAAGAAGAAGCAGCGGGCAACGCATCCGCATGGCAAGTGCGAAAAACCGCATGACCGATGACGACGAGGAAGCGAAAAATTTTGCTTTTAAGTGAACAAAACTTGCAAAAGAAAAAGTAGATGAAGAAAAACGAAATACGGGAATTACGGGAAATTGAGAACGCCAACGTGAAAAACGGCGCGTAAACGCTAAAAAAAAGAATAAATAGAAAAACAGAAAAAACGCAACGGGCGACTAACAAGTAAATAAAACAACAGTCGAATAAGCAACAACAAAAGCGGCAAGAGATATAAAACACACACACACGCATACAAAACCATTCATACATACGAAACATACAGGGGAAAGGAACACACACGCACACATACACCAAATAGTTGGTACGATGGCCAGCAGTGCCACAAATTCAGCTGGTGGCGCCACACGCGCCGCCACACGGGCCGCAACAGTCACACTCACCAGCAGCAGCAGCACTCTGCCCTCACTGTTCGCCGGCGGCGGCGGCAGCAGCAGCACCGGCGCCGGCAAAGATTTGGACGGACTGATTGCCATCAATGATAGCGCATTATCGCAACAAATCGAATTTATACTACAAGATGCTCCCATGGAGCAGGATGACGAGCATGAATTGGAGCTTGGCATGGCAGCAGCGACGGCGGCAGCAGCGGCGGCATCAGCAACGAAGCTCGACAACAACCACCACCACCCACCGACAACAACAAATACAACAATAACGTCAACAAATAGCGCTTCCGCATACAACCACAACAACAACAGCAGCAACAGCTTAAGCAGCGTAGAGGAGCAGCACCTGCAACAACAGCAACAATTGTTGCAACAACAGTTACACCAACAACAACAGCAACAGCATCATCTGCTCAATGGGCGCCGCATCATCATTCAATCAACTACCGGCAACGCGGCGCTGATTGCTGCCGATGACATTAAAGAGGAAGAAGAGGAGGAGGAGGATCCTGAGCTAAACGATGAGAATCTGCAGGACATAGAGGAGGAGGCACAAGCAGCAGAAGCTGACGAGGAGCCAGAACCAACAGCGCATCATCATCAGCACCACCACCAACACCACCAACAGCAACAGTTGCATCTGGAGCAGCAACAACAACAGGCGGCTGCCCTGCAACAACAAATACAGCAGACACAGGTGAAGCTCGAACTAGAGGATGAGGAGGATGATGTCATGTCGCCACAGCAACAACAGCAGCAATTAGAATATATCAATGCAGCACAGTCGACGTCACAGGCAACGACCCAACAATTGGTGCTGCCTGCAGGTAGTATTGTAAGCACCACGACGCGCGCGCTGGCCGTGCCCGTGTCTGAAGCGCTGGTGCAGCTGCAACGTCGTCCCGTATATATTAGCAATACGGTCGGTGGGTTAGCCGGCACAACATACGTGCGGATGCCAGCGGTCATCAGTCGCAGCCCAATGACCGTGTTGAACGTTGTCCAACAGTCGGTGCCCGGTGGTGCACCCACCACACAGCTTATATTGCAGGCGGCGCCAGCGACAAGTGCCACAAGCGGCACACCTGTTGTGGTTAGCAGCAGTACCGCTGCATCCTCATCCGCTGAGCAAATGACAGTAGCTCTGGCTCAACAACAGACATCACAGTCTCAGGTGGTCAATGGGAATACTGGCAGCAATATAACAAGCAAACAGCAGCAGCAACAGCAGCAAGTGGTGGCCAACAGCAATGGCCAAGTGACTGCCGTGGCCACCGCTAATGTGGCCACTGCTAGCACCAATACTGTCTCCACATCGACCTCCACCACCAGCTACCAGTGTGTTGAGTGTGTGGAAAAGTTCGATTCGAAGGAACTGTTTGACATCCATCGCTCCGGTCATGCCAACAATATGAAGTGCGCCATTTGCAACATGGTGCTCAAATCACTTAAGAACTATGAGAAGCACTGCCTTCGTTGCAAGCCCTACGAGTGTCAGATTTGTGGACGTGTTGTCCGTTTCCGGCCCAATTTCATTAAACACATGCGCGTCCACACCGGTCAGCAATCGGAGCGGCATAAATACAAATGCGAGGTATGCCACAAAGAGTTTATGAGCTTCGAGTACTTCAAGGTGCACAAGAAGATCCACAACGAGAATGTTAATCTGACGTGCGAGATTTGTGGCAAAGTATTCAGTGCGTTGGCCTCCTTACGCGGTCATTCCAAGCTGCACTCAGGCGTCAAGCTGCACAAGTAAGTGAACTGCAGTAAATGCACAAAATGACAGTTTGCATTATATTAATGTATTCTCTATTCCTCTCATAGATGCGACGTGTGCGGGAAGGGCTTTGGCCAACGTTACAATCTCAAAATACATGCTCGTACACACACCGGCGATTTTCCATTCGAGTGCAAGATCTGCAAGAAGAAATTGCACACCCAATCATCGTTGCAGACGCACATGCAGGTGCATCTGCGGGATCAGCCCTCGCAAGCGATCAACGCTGTTAAATTTCAGGATCAGCAGCAGACGTCAACAGGCAGCAGTGGCACCTCAACAGCCACAAGCACAAGCGCTTCCAATGGCGGCAGTGTGGCCGCCACAATTGTCAAGCTGGAGCCGCAGAGTGAGCTCGATGGGCCCAGCACTAGCGGGCTGCTTCATCAGCAGCAGCACGACATCGATATGGACGAAAATTCTGGACTGAGCGATGACGATGACGAGCTGCAAAACAGCAGCGGCGTCGGCGTTGTGAACTCCTCGCATATTGTAACCACGACCACCAATCGTATTACCACCGGCGAGGACTCCTCGAATGAGTCCTCGAATGCCTCGCTTCATCAGCCACTTTCATCATCGTCATCGTCGCACTCCCTGCCGCAACAACAGCAGCAGCAGCAGCAGCAACAGTTCGTCGTCTCCACGCCAACACGTACCATTGTTATTAAGAACTACATGCAACAGCAGCAGCAGCAGCAACAGTCCTCGGTATCCGAGCAACAACTGTCGCACCAACACACACAGGTCATACAGAGCGGTGCGGGCACCAGCAACGGCCACAATACGAGCAACAGCAGCTGTAGCAGCAGCAATGGCAGCAGTAACAGCAGCGGCGTAGGCCCTGGTAACAACAGCAACTTGACGCAGCAACTGCTTCGTAAGACGCCCATTATCCACTCCACCGGTGGCGCAACCACGCTCTCCTCCGCCCTGGCGAGCGTTGTGCAGCAGGCATCCGGTAAGTAAACTTAACTTAATTAAGCTAATTAAAGAGCATTGTTAATTTATTTTTGAAACTGAGGCCACATTTATTCTTCATACGTGTGAGGCATAAATAGGTTGTCCATCCTATTTAAAATTATTAATGCATAATGACAATTATCTTAGTACCGTATGTACGACGAGCTGTTAATGAGCTGTCTAACAACTCTTTTGCGATATTTTGTATAGGAGTCGGGGCCTCACCAGCGCCATCGCCATCATCCTCCACATCGTGTTCCTCCACTGTGCTGGTATCCAAGGCAACTGGTGTGCCGCTGTCCATTGCCTCATCAGCTGCGCTCGGCGGCTCCACGATCATACGCAGCACTCGCAACCATCACCATGCCCACACGAATTCACAGCAGCATCAGCACAATCAGCAGAGCACATCTGTGGCCAGCACTGGCGGCAGCAGCTCCTACAGCACAATGTCGACGGGCAACAGCGGCACCGGCAGCGGCAGCAATCAACGGGCTGCAGCTGGAAGCTCGTCGCAGCAACAGCAGCGCAATAACCACCGAAACCACCACCGACGTCGGCATCTCGCCGATCTGGACGATGATGATGATGATGACGCGACGGCGCAGTTGCGTGCCAGCGCCACAAATGGTCATCAAACGGCGTTAGGGACGCAGCAGCGAACGCATCACAATCATCATCACCATCATCACAATCATCATTTTGACGACGATGATGATGATGAGAAATCCTCCCCGTCCCTGGCCACTGCGGCCATCATAAAGGTTGAACCGAATCTCTATTCATCCGGGTCCGGCGACAACTCCAACGATATGTTCATCAAGGAGGAGGTAATGTTCGAGGATTCGGCGGCACCGCACTCGCCACAATCACCGCCCAGCTCCAAGTTTCGCATCTCGAATTTCGACAGCGATCTGGTTGATCATCATGTCGATTTGAATCACTCGCTGCCGCCGTATGGTAATCTCTTTGAGCCGCATTCCATACCCGACACCATACCTGTGCAATTGTATCCCGACGACGATGATGATTTCCGGCTGGACCACAGCTCTCTGGGTGCCCTCCACAACACATCGTCGTCGACCACCGATGGTGATTTCATCAAGAAGGAATGGGTCTATGGGAGTGGTACCAGCAGCTATGCCATGAACGGCAAATTCGACGATGATAGCGATGCTTTGTGTGATGCCGCAAATTTCATATATAATTGAGACCCCGCCGCACCCACCACTACCACAGCCCTGTCGTCCCCAGCACTGGGAACGTCGCCGCTGCCGGCGCCATTGGAGGAGCGTAGTGTGGTGCGGCGCGTACACGATGCGGCTATGTGGAGTGAGTGTTGAGAACAGAGATAGTGATCATAAAACAGATGCTGAGGCAGTCGCTGCTCCAAATGCCAATACCTTTACATACAACATACATAAATATATAGAAAGTATTCGTAAAGCATAGATGCCAGCAGGATAAACAAAAAAAAAAAATGATTTAAAAAAACAAACAAAACATAAAAAATACATCAAAAAGAGAACTTGTGAAATACAGTCGATTAGTTATGCGTAAATACACACACACACACTCGAAACATACAACATACACACAACACACATAGTTATAGAATGAATTTTTGTGAGAAGAGAACGCCTAACTAATCAAATCCTTGATGGAAAGGCAACGCACACAGAATACGGGAAGGAGGGGGGAAATGGACAAAAGGACGCACAAATACAGCTACTACCGTACAAGTATCTAAGCAGAAATCATATGGAACACATGTGAAGCAATCACACACACACAACACAAACATAAATATATACTAATTTATATATATACATTAATATATAGTACATGCTATCTCTGTCGCGCTCGTGATCTTAACGTGATCTTAAACTAAATCGATGTGTAAAATGTACGTATATGTATTGTTGCATAATTCTCGCTCTCGTGGTGAGTCTCTCTCACTCCCTCTCTTTCTCTCTCTCTCTCTCTGTCTCTATTTGACTGTATCTCCTTATCTTTCCGTCTCTCTTTGTCTTTGTAATCATTGGTGTGTTGTGACGCAAAAAAGCTTTTACAAGTGTTTCTCTTTAGAAATAAATTAACTTAATTTTTAGTTGTATCTTTTGGGTTGTAATTCTACACCCACGAACACCGAACCAGCCAACCCTACCAACAACCAGCCATAACTGTTTAGTCTCGCCATCTTATTCCCTTTCTCTGTCGCTCTGTCGCTGCCACTAATAAGCTGAAGATCCCATTCATAGTTCTAAACAAGACAAGCCAAGGTTTCCAACCCACCACCATGCGTGCGTGCGTGTATGTGTGTGTGTGTGTATGTACATATGTATGTATTTATGTACTTGTGCTCCCTTCACACGTGAAACACCATCGAATTACGACAATCTCGCTAATTCTCCCAAAACATTTTTCATTTAATTTGCTTGTATTTAAGCTCGATAACGTATTCCTAAATGTCTGCCCAAAAATATAGTCTATATATAGTATATCTCCTAAAATATGAGCGCGTCGTGCTCCTGCTCCAAAGAAAGAAGTGCAAACTAAAGTGGAAGCAAAAGAACGAATGATATGAAATGAAATGCAATGTAAACGTACAACAACAAATTGTTCAGCCTGATTTCTGTCGTGAGAGAACAAATGAAAAGGAAAAGCAAAGCGTAACAAATTCTGTTTTATAGTGTGTTCCAAAACTAAGCTAAGAACAACAACAAAAATACGAAGAAAAAAAGGTGAAAAACATCAATTAAACAATTTACCAGTCTTTAAGGCCCGTTAAAACTCTAATATCTAGCAAGGTAGTAGTTTAACTTTTGAACTGAAAACTGTCGCTCCGATCTCTAGTTTAGGGGTTAAACTCCAATTAAGCTGGAATATCTGACGGGTCCTAAACCGCCGGGTCCTAGTGCGTACCACCACCTATCGATGCAATATTTTTTTTTTTTTTTCTACACTTTCCACACGTCCGCTCTCTACACTTGCATGGGATTTTCTTCCTTTATTTTTTTTATAATGGCAATGTTTACACATCAACAATCCTCTATACATACATATAGTATATAGCTAGACAGCACATTGTTTGATATTTCCTTAGAGTTAATTTTACTTTATCTGGCTTTTTTCATAAAGTAACTTATAGTGTAAAGATCCAAATCTACTTTTATTTATTGAGTTTTTTTTATAGTTTTGATCTCGCATTTGGTATCAAATTCTATGCAGATGCTGTTTAGAGTTGATCTGAATATAATTTACAATTTAATTTTAATAACTATAATCATAATAATGCAGATATTCTTTCACAATGAAGCATGATGGTTAACTATTCCAATACAATATTTTCAAACACAAACACTTTTTAACTTTAGAAGGTTGTAATTACATTTTTAAAACTGATATATAGCCAGGTCCGTCTGTCCGCGAAATTAGAAACCAAGTGTCTAAACTGTAATAATTATATTTTTGTTTGAAATCCCTATTTGAAATTGTGAAGGATATTTTGGGGTATTCGGCCTGACCGAAGCTCATTAAATGTCCCATGATGTGCTGTCTGCACATAATACATACATAAATATGTGCACTTAGTACATAGGTATGTATGTATATACAGATAGAGATGTATGCAACTATGTTTTAGTAGTCTACTGTGTAAAGATTTTGAACTGCTTTTCCAATTTCTTAAGCGTATGCATTCTTCGATCTTTCTATCTCTCTCTCTCTCTCTCTCTCTCTGTCTATCTTTCTTCCATTCTTTACTCGAGTATGAAATGGAATAAAATGTTTCTAACTGTGTTTCTTAGACCAAATACAACAATTATCAAGCAATGAACAGTGAAAACGATCTACATAGATACATAAATGATTCTAATTATTATTATAAATTATATATGTGACATTTATTGTTGACCTCAAACAAAAGTTAACTAAACAGATGAAGAAGAAAGGATGTTAAAGAAAAAAGGAGAAAGAAGCGTAATATCAAAATCAACATAACATTAACGAAAACATCCAGATTAATCATCAGAACATGCGCACGCACACAAACAAAAATATAACAGTAAACCCATAAATACATTATCCTTTTTTAAGTTAATTTACGACACACATTTTGTTGAACAGCCTTAAGCTTTGGGGATCGGTTTCGATCAGCCGCCAAGCTCTTGTTCTTACCTGAGGCGCAGAAGAATCGCAAAGAAACGAAAATCGATGCTCGCTTATATTTTAATTTACATACATACATATATTAGTTTTAATTGAAAAACTTGCGCTTTATGTGATGCGTGGTAGAGCTTCCTAATACTGTCTATCCTAGTTTGTGTCCACAATCCTTTGAAGGATCTGTCAAAGTCGGTAGCCTGCTATGTTTATCATTTCTTCTACTTTTTCTTCTAAGTACTTTCTGCTACTACGCCACTGGATTAGCTTTGTCTCTGCGACTGCGACGCCAGTTGAAAAACAAAAACAAAAAACACAACCATGTGCAATCACACAGACATACACACAAACCCACACCCACACTCATTCAGCCGTACATGCCTCCACACCCTCACTTAACCCACACATTATTATTATTAAAACACATACAAACACACACACAGATAAACCTACATTGTACATGAAAGCGAAATGAAAATCGAACTTTTTTTTGTTTGTTTAAGTTTAGTTGTATCTTGAGAAAGAAAAACCAATGTACGAAATATTTGATTGAAATTATTGTGGTTTCCTTAATTAGTTACTAAGTTGTATGTTTTAGTGATTTACCTATACATATGTATGCTTAGTTACGTACATATAAATAATTATATATATATATAAAATGCATATTTTTTTATAGTCATAAGCTCTAGAGCATGCTTTACATAAACATAAAGAAACACACACCCATACACCGACACAGACATATAAACAAAAGCTACATATAATCTGAATTATATAACAGCGTCCACAATTGCATATACATATAAATATATACATACATACATATAGTTAGACATACACTATACATACATACATATATATAACATGATCTAAACATGTAATTTTAATTTGCATTTAATGAAGTTTAAGTTGTGCGCCTTTTTGTATTAAACTTTTTAACAAACACTGACACACTTCGAAGCATGTAAATTTACTAAAAACCAATCAACAAAAGAACAAAAAATATACAACAAATTAATAAACAAAACATAAATGTATGTGTGTGAATATATGATACAATTAATAAAATGGCAAATGCTTATTAGCATAGAATGTTTTAAAACAAACAAAACAAAACAAAAAACCAAACAAATGAAGAAGTTAGCAAAATTTAACTAACAAATTTGCCGAGCATTTAAGTTAGAGTGAACGTCTAAATATATATAAATATATTACATATGCAACATACGAGTACATACATCCACATAAAAAATATATGTACATTATCTGACTAGAGATTAGCCAACTACTCGTAGTAAGGGTAATCAAGTGAAGAAGTAGCTGAAAATTGTAGTGTAGAACAAAAGTGAAGAGAACTTTGAACATATATTTATCATTTCGTTCGCTTCAAGGTGTTGCATATATGTACATTTGTTAGCGTTGTTGCAGTTGCTATATTTAAAGTTTTTGGTTTACATACATGCACACACACACACACACACACGCACGCACGCTTATTTGGCCAAAACGATGCCCAAATGTCGCGCTAGGCCTAAGAGCCAAGAAACGCTTGCAACTTCTAGGCATTTTAGTTTGTTTGTTTTTTCAGTTTTACGAGCATATCCTGTACCCAACATAGATCATACTACTTAACTGTCTGTCCGTCTGTATGAACCACGAGATCTTCTGAACCACACAAGTAGGAGCCACCAAGCTAAAAGCGACGTACTCTCACTCCATTTGTACAAACACCAAATTGGTTAGAAAACTATTGGCTTGTGTAGCTGTCATAGGTACGATGGAAAGGACGTGGGAGCTACAAAAGTTGGAGCCATCAATTGATCAAGATGATTTGCTTGTACAGTTGCCGTAGGACCGATAGGAAGAATGTAAAGGATCTTGAACACTTCCTGATCTATTAATCCATCGCTAATTAATTCTCCCATTGGCGATTGTCACAAAACTCAAATGCCATTCAATGTTATACGGCCGCTGGGTACAGGACATCTCCAAGGTCGGGCGCATTCGACTGTAGTATTTATTTTTGTTTTTTGTTATTTCCTTCAGCGTTAGCTTTGCATTTTGTTGCCTGACCTACATAAACCGATCCGCTGCCATCGATGTCGAGGCCTGGCACGCTCCTAACCGACACCAATATGGAAACCACTCAATCAATAATGAACTAATTTTCTAATGAAAACCTTCAAGAGTCTTCCGTTCACAGTCATGAAGATATAACGTCAGCCAGTTGAAACAAATAATTAAAATTAATAATGTATAGACAAAACCAACAATAAAATTAGTTACAAATTGAACAAAAATAGCCTTATAATATAATTTAAAAAAAAAAAAAAAACACTAAAACTAATACGCTTGAGTTTGTTCTCGAGGAAGGTACACGAATAATTTTAAGATATCAGATATTAAGAAGGGCATTGGGAACGCAGCAAAGGGCCCTTGTGAGTGTTTACATTGCATTAGAGAGAGAGCGCGATATAATAGGAAAAGGAACACAAAGAGAGTGAACAAGAGTCGAGCCACTTGATAATAAACAAGAAGAGAACTCCAAACAAAAACATTTTCCCAATTTGATTTGTAGGCGAATCGTATTCGTTGGCAAATCTATCGAATGTAACTCAAGCAAGTACCCTGAGTGTGCAGTTGAGGCGCATCTCGAGAACCTATCCTAGGAATGTTGTGCGACAAAGTACGCTTTGATATAAATCCGATTGTGAAAATGTGAACTTGAACATGAAAGCAATAACCAAACTCTCTGCCTAGCCCATTGAGTAGTTGCCTTAAGAATACACTCCATTGACACACAGTACTTTGGGTGCGTAACCCCATCCATCACAGATGAAACTACACGCCGCAAGACCACAATAAGACATTCAATACATAGATGATGCCCATATCTAACAATTTTACGTAGACATTGTAATCTTTTGTTGAATACCAGCCCCGGTTCAAACACCCCTTCAATCAAACTTGCTAGCCCACAACAAATTAACATAATGATGATCGTACTGTTAAGAGCAGAACCCACACACAGAATCCAAAACTTATTTTATATACTGTACAATGCGATATACATATGTATTTAACTCATTTATATACAAAAAACCCCAACAAACAAACTACGGTGCAGTAAGAACAACAACAACAACAAGAAGAGCGCTGCGTATCCAAAGCCCCGTCCAATTTTAAACCTGGACATGGGGCGGATGACGCAGTTGCGGAAAATTCAACACAAATTAGATTATTGTCAAAAAATAAAAGAAAAAGGAAAAACAAGAAACAAAAACCTTGCACCACAAATCTCAACGACTGCGCACATGAACAAGTGGACAAATTTTTTGTATTATATTGAAATGAAAAAAACAAAGAAACAAACAAACAAAAAAAAAAAAACATGAAAAACCCTCTAAAAACAAAACTAAATTAAATTTTAAATAAGAAAGAGAATGAAATATTTTTTTAAGTGTAAACCAAGCCATTGAGCTTGGGCGCCAAATTTTCTGCAATATAAACAAAACAAGAAAAACGTAACAAAAACTTTATAGGCATATACAAATACACTACACCAACAAAGAGCAAGAAAAAGAAGAAGAGCACACACACACAAACCGAACACACAAAAGTGCACACACACACAAACAAACCAAAAAACAAACACACACGAACACAAAAATCAATACTGAGATGAAAAACAAAAATGAAATGAAATGAAAATAAATTAACATTTTTGTACCACAAACATACTTACTACCTATAACTCGAAATCTTTAAGTAAGCTACTTTGTAGTGTTAGTCAGACTTTGATAACTTCTTGGACTGCGCCACTTCAGCAGTGACTCGAAAGATTGGAGAAAACCCTCTCCCAGCCCTCTCCCTCCTCTAGAAGAAGCGCGAGGAAATATTTTGTATATTTTCAAACAAACAGAAACCAGCAACAGACTATAATTAAAAGAATAAA